GGGCGAGATACAGAGCCCAGCGGCCAAGGCAGAATTAGAGGGCCCAACATATTAAGGCAGAAGATCGGTGTTGCAGCCAGTGGCGTCACAAGGGGGGTGCGGCCCGCACCCGGGTGACACCATTGGAGGGGGTGACACCAAAATGACTCACAGTCATTTTGGTGTCACCCCCTCTGAAAAGTCGGGCGCTCGGTCATGGACCGAACGCCCGAGAGTATCAGGAGGGGACCCGGCGGCATACCTTATCCCGCCGGGTGACTGTCCCCTCCTCAGGCCCAGCTGTTGGGAGAGGGTCGTGATGGCCTCAGCCACTCCTGCGGGTTCCATGGTAATGGCTGAGTTATTATATCAGGTGCGTCTGCGGGCAAGCAGTACGGAGGGAACCCGCTGGCAGGAAGCAGCCTGAATGGTCCAAAGGCAAGGTAACAAGGGTCAATCCAAAGAGGTAGTCGAGGGTAATCCGAGGTCGAGGCAGGGTCAGAGGCGATAGGCAGTCCAAGGTCGGTACACGGGAGGTCAGCAGAGGGTTCAGGAAAGTGGCAGCAAAGCACATAGGAGGGGAGCTTTGTATGTCACACCATGAGGTGGAATAACTCAGCAATAAGCCAGAGCTCAGGCCAGGTTTTTATAGCCAGGGGAGGTAAGACCACCCCCCGGTCACCGAGGCAACCAGGAGGCTTCCCTCCCCGGGAACCAATGACAGGCGAGAGAGATGGAAGGTGTGTACTGGGAACCTCCCCCAGCAAGGCTCACACCTGATGCCTAATGGCGCAGGAGCGCTACGTGTGCGCTTCCGGGGATGCGCGCGCAGCCTGCGTACTGCGCATGCGCACCCGCAACCCAGGCACCAGGAGTTTTACCAAGCTGAGGGGGAACCCATGCCCTTCGCCGTGCCCGTGGTCCCCGAGCAGGGGTAACACCCCCTGATTCCTGACATGGGGCGATAAAGATCACAGCCCAGATTAGCATATCTCTGTTTTTTGGAATGTGCAGAGAAAATTAACTAAATAAAGCCCCCCCCCAATGCTAATGTAAGGACTCACCTTAAATTATGCCTCTTGATGCGATCATCTTCTTTTCTGTAGTTTTCAGGAGTCCCTTCCGGTCTCTGATCCAGTGCTGACTCCTCTCTCTTAACTGGCGCTTCCTGCCCCACAGAGACTGTGCGGGTGCACGCTGCTGCATTGACTTACCTTGTGTCTCTCCTTGTCTCCCAGCCGAAGATCTGAACCGCACATGCAAGATTCCTTGCGACCACCTGAGGATCTTCAGATGTTCAGACAGGAGCGCGTGGAGGAAACACATGTAAGTTTTAACCCTTTTGAAAATATAAAAAAAAAATATTTTTGCATATATTTACTGCTTGCTAACAGTAGATATATGCCAAAAAAAGGAGAGGCTTGAATAACCCTTCAAATGTATATTTAACTGAAAATATAGCTTTGAGTAAAATAAATGCCACTGCACCTTTTATTCTACAAAGTCTCTGCTTTTAGAAAATATATATTGATTTTAGTGCTAAAAGTAATTGTCAGGCATTTTATTATGCAAAGAATGTTAATAAAGAAAATAAAAAAGCGCAGGCAGTGAAATAATATTTATTTTTGTAAGCGCACATATATACAATAGTACCTGTAAAACTTGCATTGTTGGTGGGACTTGAGAACAGGTGTAGTAAATCTTGCTTTGAGACATAGCATACAGTGTGTTTTCAGTATCATGCATAAAAAAACATTGTCTGGGTCAAGGTATCAAGTGGATGTTTATTGATCGCAGCATATAACAAAATTGCCAGAATATGTCTAGATCTTGCTTTTTCTACATTAAAGCAGAACTCCAGGGAAATGTTAAAAACTACCCCTGTAGTGGGGCTCCACCCACACTGCAAGGGTTGCAGGTGCAGGCTGCACCTCTACCTGCGACCAGTCCCTTGAAGTGCTTCTCATAAGCACTCTGTTGCACTTTGATGTCATCATCAGGGCGGGCCTTAGACTTACAGGCGCCCTGTGCAAGAAAGCTCTACAGTACCCCTCAGTGACCACACCCTCAGTAACCACACCCCTCAGTGGCCACACCCATTTCTCCAATATCCGCACCATGTAAAGACTCCCATTTTGTTAAGCCCCAAAGAAACATATTAAAAAGTATGATAAAAATAAAACTTTTATTCAAAGCTATTAAACTTGTAAGCACAATATAAGTATTCTTATGAAATAAAACAACCGAAGGCAAACAAGTGGTAAACAATAAATGTCAAACTAAAATAAAGTTTATAAAAATAAAGTGTCAGGATGTCACACAAACTCTTTTTTCAAGTAAGTGCATATAGAAAAGTAAAAATAAAAAACAGAAAACAAAACTTAGACTATGTCAGGGCTGAGATAATAGGCCGGTCGTTGAACCCCTTGGCAGGGACGAAATATGTCCAAAAGCACAGCACAAAAGGGCAATCCAAATAGAGTAGTGAAGTCCAGTTCCGGGTCGTGGCAGGCAGCAAGAATCGTAGTCGAAGGGTCAAGCGAAAGGGTCGGTAGCCGGGAAGTCAGATCAAATAACATGCGCGAGTCGGCATGCGCGAGTCGCGCACCGGCCACACCAGCGCCAGATGCCATGCCAGGAGGAGGAGCCTGTGCCCGATGCCCGTGCCGGCGAGCCTGGTGAGGAACGGCCCCCCTGGGGGCCGAATATACGAAAAATGTATTTGGGCACATAATAATTTGTTTGAGAATGGCGGCGCCCAACATGTGCGGTGTTATATGATGTCATGCGCCCTGCCTCCAGAACACGCCAATGGCTGAATCCAAAATAGTAGAAAAATTTGTTTTGTTTGATGAAACGAATTTAAATGTTTTTAGTTTTCGTTCATTTCACCTGAAATTAATTTTTAGTCTTTGCGCATGTCTAATAATACGTGTATGTGTGTGTGTGGGGGGGTAATTTTCACTTTTTTAAAAACAATTTTTTAATGGGGTGTTTTTTTTACATTTATTTTTTATTTTCTCCACTGTCGGGGGGGCTTCGGGGAAATATTAGGGTTCTAAACAGACCCCTGACATTTCCCTTTTAAAATACAAAAGAAATTGAGGACACAAAGTCCTCAATTTCTTTTTTAGCAGCGTCAGCACTCAATGAATGGGAAGCACTCAGTACAGAGGCTTCCCATTCATTCAGAAACTGATGATAGTAAAATATTTACTATCACCAGTTCTGAATGGGGAGGAGCCTCTGTAGTGAGTGCTTCTCCCCATTGAGAAATTCATGAATGAACAGGAAGTGATGTAAATCACATCCTGTTCATTCATAACTGGGGACACATAGTACTGTGTCCCCAGTTATTTACAAACATTGGAGTGATCAGGCAATCAGTCCAGTGTTTGTTCCACACACACAGAGGATCGGTAAATGTCACAGATATTTACCGATCCTCCGCTAGGCCACGCCACCGGGCACTGTCATCCTGCAATCGGACAGGATGACAGCGGCTGCTCTCTCTTCCCCGCTTGGCTGTCCTGAAAGCTATGGATTCTCTTCTCCTCCCCGCTCGGCCGTCCTGACAGCAGGCAGCGCTCCCTCCTGCGCCCCCTCCCCCCAACCAAGGACAGCGCTGAAGCGGGCGGGGCGGGGGTATGGTTTGTGGGGCTGGGCGGAGGAGGGAGCGCTGTCATGTCGGATGGCCAGCGGTGAGGAGGAGAGAAGCTGTAGCCATCCCGAGGACAAGCTGTGTCGGCCGCCTGGCGCCGACACAGCTGGTGCGGCCGCACAGCTCGAACACCCCAAAGGCCGGCCCTGGTCATCAGCATTCTTGCATTGTAAATGTGGACACCCACAATACGGAGCATTGGAGGGAAGAGGAGAGCGTTGACTGCCAGAGAAGCAAGGGATAAGGCAAATGAAAATACTTTTTAATGGTACCCTAGGCAAAAACAAACAATAAATGTTGCACTGTGGGAGTCAGATAGATAACTTGACTACTGAGTGCACCACACTGCAACTTATTAAAAGATTGGTTGCTGTTTCTCGGAAAATACAGTAATTTCAGAGTGTACATATTTTGAGTTATTTGTTTACAATATTTAATATAAAGTGAACCTGTAATTTGTCTATGCAGGGCAAAGGATCAAGTTTACTTTAGTGTAAGCTGTCGAGTATAAAAGAAAATACATGTAAAGGCTATAAGTTGCTTGAGTCATAGCTCACATTTGGTTTTAGGATCCCCATGTGACAGTGCCGATTAGCCCAGCACTGTATCTCATGGAGTGAATCCCCCATACCTGTAAATAATGGGTGATTCCTTCGGCTCTCAGCGCAGAATATTGTGGAGAGGGAGTGAAGGAAATGTAAGTATATGCTGCTGGGAATGGGAACAAAAAAGCAAACTTGTCACTGCCCTGAATGTAAAGAAACAGAATGTAAAGTGATTTTTGAGAAAAAGGTCACATATTTACATGTTTGTTGTTTTAATTTATGTAGTTTATTTTATGTTTCTGTATTGAATTCAAATATTTGTAGATTAGTCATTCGAGAGAGAGAGAAGTATGTGTGAACAAAATGTTTTAAGTCAGGGACTACTTTGCTGTGTCCCTAATTAAGCCTGTTGCAATCTTTGCATTGTCTATGAATGCTATGGAAGCATATCCAAACTTATTATGGTCAGTTTTCATCTTTGCTTTCTACTTTGGAGCTATGGGACTCTGTGCTCTCTGCCCCCATGTACATACATAGTCACATATTGTAGATAGAGGGTTTCTAAGACATTAACAGATAATGATAAGATCATTTTTTGTCAAGCTGATTTCTTTTACATAAATATCTAATAATTAAAATAAGACAATACATTCCCTTTCTTTGTATAGGGTCAGTATTTTATGTTTTCTGGAAGGGTTGCATCCATGATTGCAACATCATTACCCTTGTGCGCAGTTTTGTTGCTGGATGGCACTGCAGATATATCTGAATAGAGCACATGCTGTTCCATAGCTTAACACACATTGGCTAGTGCTTCACATTCTAGTGCTGGTACTGGAGCCATCATTTGCCTTCATTTGTTCTTCTACACCTGCAGAAAAAAAGATTTTTACTATAGAACATTGATTTAGACAGATACAGAGCATGTATACGCAAAGTTGGTATGTATTTGTATTTAATTGCATCTGTCAGACAAAAGCTTGAGCAACAAAATAAATGTGGGCTGTAACTTACAATAAAGCATGACATTTGGAATGACTGATTGCTCTGGGCCACACCCCCAGCCTTTGTTGTTTTGGTCTTAGCAATTACTGCTTTTAGGTCCCACTCACACTTACATGTTGCAGAAACACAAGATAAAATGTGCATTTACCATATGTTACTGCAATGCTTGGTAACGAGCGTACAGCACTGTGATGCACTAGATTGACATTCATTTTAAATGACACCCCAAAACACTAGAACAGTAGCGGCACCCGTACTGCAGTGCACTGAAACACACATGTGTCTGTGGTAGTGTGCTGCCTTATAGAAAAATGGGTCATATCCAAATTTGCCCGTGTTGTGGTTCATTGACAGTCTACCTTGATGCAATGCAAGGTGATGCGAGAAAACGTGAAAATTGTGAATGAGCCCTTATGAAAAATATGGTAAAATATAACCCAACTATGATTTTTTTTAAACACATCCCTGCTTTGTTTAATCTGCTTGTAAGTAATATAACTGAAGGTTTGGTCGGTATGGTATTCCCCCAAAGCTCTGTCCTTGGACCCCTTCTCTATCTACACCTCCTCCCTTGGTCAACTAATAACCTCACATGGCTTCCAATACCATCTCTATGCCGATGACACTCAAATTTATCTTTCCACTCCACAACTCTCCCCCCCTGTGTCCTCTCGTGTCACTAATCTACTAACTGACATATCCATCTGGATGTCACAACATTTCTTAAAACTCAATCTTTCAAAAACTGAGCTCTTGATATTTCCTCCTACCCGTGCACCTTCCCCCAACATTTCAGTTGAGATTGATAACACAACTATCCACCCCTCCTCCAATGCCAAGGTCCTAGGTGTCATCCTTGACTCGGACCTCACCTTTCTTCCCCACATCCAATCACTATCCAAATCCTGCCGCCTTCACCTTCGTAACATCTCCAAAATACGCCCCTTCCTCACCAATGACACCGCAAAACTACTCATACACTCACTTGTTATCTCTCGTCTTGACTATTGTAACTCCCTCCTCATTGGCCTTCCACTACACAGGATATCCCCCCTTCAGTCTATCATGAATGCAGCTGCCAGACTCATCAACTTGACCAACCGCTCAGTGTCTGCAACCCCCCTCTGCCAATCCCTGCATTGGCTTCCACTCGCCCAGAGGATAAAATTCAAAATATTAACAGTCACTTATAAAGCCATACACAACTCTGCCCCTGGATATATCTCAGACTCCTGCTTTCCAGCTCCCTAGTCAACTCCTCCCATACTCTCCTCCAGGACTTCTCTAGAGTCTCTCCCATCCTCTGGAACTCTTTACCCCAACCTGTTTGTCTATCTCCCACCCTGACTGTCTTTAGGCGTTCCCTGAAGACTCATCTCTTCAGGGAAGCCTATCCCTCCTCAACCTAACCACTGAACCATCACATTCTCAAACAATTCATCCCCACACAGCTACCTCCTCATGTATCATTTCGCCCTCCTGTTTCAGATTGTAAGCCCTCAGGGGCAGGGCCCTCCTTACCATCCTGTCTTGAATTGTATTGTAATTGTAATGTCTTCCTTACATTGTAAAGCGCTGCGCAAACTGTTGGCGCTATATAAATACTATGTAATAATAACAATAATATGGTATGTGTTTTTTGCTTGTGACACAAAAGTGTGTAATAGAGTTGATATTACAGAAGGTGTTTGTAACAAAACATGAAACATGATTTAGGATTGCTGAAACTTGCTCACAGCAGTGAAAACTCCAGTTCAATGTTTCTTAATTCAAAATAACGCACTGTGAGGATTAGCTCCAAATAGTAGCCGCATAAAGGACGCATCCACTCGCTGTAATCTTCATTCAAGGGCTTCCTTGCCCACTTTTATTAAATGAAAGTCCACAAAACAGAACAATTACCCTCGCAGGGGTTCTTTAGCATCTCATGGTAGCACCTGCCCATCCAGCCTCCTGGCTTTGCATTGGCAGCACCGCTGCTCTGGCCTTAGACCTCAGGCCACTGTCTGTTCCTCCAGACAGCCTCAGTCATGTGCTAACCTGCACACTGGGGGGTTCTTCCCAATCCACAGCACCCTGCTGCACTGGACTCCACTCTGTCTCTTGGGTGGGTCCTTCCTGTCTCCCAGGTGGAGTCTTGAACCCTTCCCAACAACTTTAATTTAAAGGCTGTGCACACCTGTGCCATCAGCATGCGCTGGCCACTCAGATTCTGGACACAGGAATGGAGATAACGCAGTGGCATTGCCATGCACTGCCACAGCACTTAGGAAAAAATAATCATCTTATAGGGTACACTTTTGGAGGTACAGTGTCATCCAGAACTAGTGAAGAAAAACATTTAGGGCTACTCATTTCAGATGATTGCAAAATTAGCAAAAGTGTAACCAGGCATTGGGGAAAACAAATAGAATTCTGGAGTGATCACCGGAAGGAGGTAGGAGGTCCTAAATCCACCATATAGAGCTTTAGTTAGACCCTATTTAGAATACTGTGTCACGTTCTGGAGACCTCACAAAAAGATAAAAGTAATGGTCCATACCCATTCAGGATTCAATGCCTCTGACTTTACCCTGTGCAAAACTCAAGTCAAGCATACATTGTGTCGCTAGTAGTTCAACAAATACTGTAGTTATCTCTACTACAAAATCTTATAGAGGTACAAGCAGAAAATTCCTAGGCACATGAGAGATTGCGGCATGCCAGACACAAGTCAGTGAGTCTGGAAGGTTCTTTGGCAAGCCAGTGGGAGTAGAGTGGGAAATATCTAAACCTCATTTCAGTGTTGTGAACTGAAGCACAGAAAATGCCAACGTCACCTTCAACTAGAGAAAGTTGGGGACAAACTGAAGATTGACTCTTATTGACTAATTTTCTGTGCGTCATATATTATTTGTGTATATATGATATGTTATGCTCTGGTATATTTTTCTTGGTTAGTAATGTTCATATTTTGTATTTTATTGCGGAGGTCAGGGGGCTATTATAAGCAAACAGTTGTATATGGAGGGTGATGAATACTGAATATAGTACTTTGACCAAAGTACACTTACTTAGTACATTAGTATGTTCTTTTGCTCTGTTTTAATGGTATGTTATAGATGGTATACTGTTACTAAAAAGGGTGTTGCGGCATCAATAAAAACAGTTTGCTCTTTTGTTGTACTGATTGCTGAAACAGTAGATTATGGAAAAATTGTGACCATTTACAGCACACAGAACAGAGTGCTGAGTAGTATGTATAAATCAGGACATCTGTTATCATTTCACTGACAGACCCCACACACACAGATCTCCACACATGTACCACACATATGTTTCTAATGCCCACATAGCACTACCTTACACTCAGCTCAGTACTCAAACACTCAGGGGGCGTTCACACTAGCCTGTCCGCTAAAAGGCTGAATTTTAGCCGATGGGCTAGTGTGTTGTATTGCACACTTCAGGAGCTGTCACTGTTTATGTTTTTATTTTAATCTTATGTGGAATATACAATGTGTACACTCCATTCAGATCTGCACACAGCAGCGTGTTACACTGTGCTGCCATGTGCCGACCTGCAGTTGGATCCAGTGCACTGCAATACAATGCAGCATGTTTGCATTTCACCGCAGCGCGGCACACCGCCCATCACACCCATGTTGTGGTGTGAATGGGACAGTATTTGTGAACTGGCCCTTAGAGTTGTACAGCATGTTAAAAAAATAACTATGGGCAACAGTGTTGTCGAGGTGTCTGTCATTGTCCTCTTCATTCTATCGAGGTGAATGCTTATCAGGAACAATAAAAAGCATAATTAATATCAGTGGCCTACCTATAATAAAAATAAATTGAATACATGAAATATACCTGAATCAGGTTGTGAACTTTCAGCTAATGTGCCAACATTTCCAGTCTCAGAACTTTTGTTCTCTACATCACAGACATCCAGCTGTCTTCCTGCGTTACTCTTTTCCGTCACAATGTCAGATATAATGTCTTGAGACGTACTTTTATCTTCTGATAAACATTTGTTATCGGTGTTCTGTGCTCCAGAAATAGAATCCTGTGCATCATATTCTTTGCTTTCAGTGTCAGCCACTGCTGTTTTTGTGGAACAGTCTTTCATTTTATCCTCTGATTCATTCTGTGTTATGTTCTCTGAGCATCCTTGGATATTGTCCATGGGAGTCTTTTCTGCTGAATTCTCTACATTTTCTGTCATCACCGTGCCGGATTTTTGTTGGATGGTTGTACTCTCTGTACAAACTTCTGATGAGTGCTCCTTTTTATCTGTCTCTGGATTCTCTGGAGTCACATCACGTGCGATCCTTTCCACAGATTCTCTATCTATTGTGTCTACAGTGTCCAGCTGGGTTGTATTACCTGCTTCTGTGCATGCTTGTGCACTTGTGATCAACTCAGTACTGTGTTCTGATTCTCTTAATGCATTGTCCGTTGTTTCCTTTTTTGTTGGAATAGCATTGTTCCCCTGTATTATGGTTTCAGACCTCTTATCATCTTCAACCTCAAAACTTTGCTTTGAAGATTTTTCACTCATATTCTGGGCTATGTTTTCTGAACTATTTTCTGTCAAATTGCTTTCAATTGTGTTTTCTAAATCCACGTGTTCTATTGACTCCAATGAATCTTCCTTTGTTGTACTTTCCATAATCTCATTTGGAGATTCTTTGGGTTGTTTGCCACATTCTTCTTTAGCGAATTCTTGAGACGGGTCAGTTTGCACCTCCTCAGTTGAAGCACAGGAGTTGCCATCTGTGGAGGAATCCTGGGCGTCACTTGCCATAGAAGACTGGGACCCATTCTTGCTCTTCTCTTTTTCTGTTGAGGAAATACTTACTCCAGGGTCTACTGAAGCCATGAAAAAGTAATTTGTAGAACTTATAGGAGATGAGATCATCAAAGAATTTCTGTTACTAAAATTGAAAGTAGAATACTTAATATCAGATTACATAGATAGAATATTGCACCTTAATAACAAATAATTGGTGAAGTATCTAAAAAACACACACATCTGTTGTCACTTTTTCTCACTTTTCTTGGAGAGAATGGTCACCATGACAGGAGAGGGTTAATCTCTCCAGTGGTACCACAGATAGCATAATAACACTACAGTTCTAACTAGGGATGCACCGTTACCGTTTTTTCGGTATTGAGTACGAGTACAGATATTTTTTTTTCGGTACTCAACGATACCGAATACTGATACCGGAAGTTCCAATAAGTAAGCAGGACTTCGTGTAATGACTCGCCGCCTGGCTTCTGGTTAGCCGGGAAGTCGTCTCCATGCTCCCTCGTCACCACTTGACGAGGAAGCATGGTGCCGGCTTTCTGGCTATTCAGGAAGCCGAGGGCGGGTAATGACTAGCCTCTGGCGTCCTGATTGGCCAGCTTCCTGACCAATCATGAAGCTGGGCAGTGAGTCATTATACGCCTCTCGGCTTCCTGATTGGCCAGGAAGCTGGCTCCATGCTCCCTTGTCACTTAGTGACAAGGGAGCATGGAGCCGGCTTCCCGGCCAATTAGGAAGCCGGGGGGCGAGTCATTACCCGCCCCCCGGCTTCCTGGTTGGCCGGGAAGCCAGCTCATGCTCCCTAGTGATGAGGGAGCATAGAGCCTGCTTTCCGGCCAATCAGGGAACCGGGCAGTGTGTAATGACTCGCCGCCCGGCTTCCTGATACTGGAAGTTCTGGTATTGGGATAGGCATCGGGAGCATTTGGCCAAGTATGAGTACTCGCCCAAATACTCGTATCGGCACTGATACTAGTATCGGTATCAGTTCTATCCCTAATTCTAACACCTAACCACTCTTTTCAAACCCCCAAAAATGTGGCCTGAGATATACTTTGAAGAAAAAGTCTTACATTGTATTATTTTCACAGCTCAGTCACCTAACTGCCACAGTGTATGTATATACAGTGTATAAACTTTGACAGTTTACTCCTCTTCATTCCTGACCATGCTGTGAAAAGGAGATGGCCTCTTGATTGATAGCTCTGCAATTTCCGGACACAATTGAGGCCATAGGAATGTAGTGGGAAGGGGCACGCTCTCAAAGGAATCAGCACAGGCACTAGAACTGGAAAGGTAACCTTGTTTTGTGTTGGGAAAATACAGGGACATTGAGATAAGAGCTGTCAATCAAGAGCGTAGTCAGGAATGAAGTGGAGTGAGCTGTCAACGTCTGTATCTCAGTTTCTACTGCACACAGAAGCATGGGATAAAAAGCAACATATACTGTGGGAGTTCTTCTTTAAGGGTTCTATTTATAAACCAGAGAATGTGACTTTCACAAGCATTCACAGGTGGAGAATCAATTGCACCAGAGAATGCTTGTGAAAGTCACAATATTTGCTTTATAAATAGACCCCTAAATCTCTGTCACCATTTTTTTTATTTCAGGAGCATATCACAAAAGCCATGGGCTTTGATAAATGACATTAGTTGGCTCCTACGTGCATGAGGAAATTTTTTTTTTAACTGAACAAACTCAAGTGTGTACTTGGTTGTCAGTATAAAAGCCCAACCTTGTTGGCAAACTATTAAATATATTGTAATCAAATATACCTTTTAACCCCTTTAATGACAAATACTTTGGTGGAATGCTGCTTCTCCAGTTTGCTCATCACGTCATATAGGTCATGGTTTAGCTGCAGGTAAGATTATATGATCATTATATTAGTTACAAGCTCTAATAACGTAGCTGGTAAAAACTGAGGAAATATTTCAGGAAAAGTTTAGAATGTATTTAGAAAAAACAGTGCAAAAAATCATTGATGAACAACAAGCCATAACAGTCTAACACAGAACAGCCTTTAAAGCCCAAATGCACCATTCACATTCTGTCCCGATGACAAAATGTCAGCCATATTGATCTTTGCTGGCAACAATATCAACTTCCACCTCTCCAGTTTATGATATGTCCCATTTCAGTTCTTGACTGGCCTATTTCAAGTGAAAGTTTTATTCTTGAAGTAAATCTAAAACATTTTTTTTAGTTTTGAATAGAATGTGGAAGTGTTAGAACCGCTATCGTTATCTGTAGGCCCAATGTGAAGTTGGCCCCTCTCTAGTGGTCACTGTGACAGTAAGTGATAGGAAATGCAAAATGTTATAGTTGTAGATGGAACTGAAATAAAGAGGAAATCTTCTTATGGGATCACTTATTACTCTCTAGGAAGAGACTTCCCCAAACTTTGGAGAGATTTCTGCTGACTTTCAGTTGTGTCTCTTGTACAATAAATACATTGAAAGCTCCCAAACCTTACACAGATAAATGAAAATAAAAATACAGGGGTTTTAACAATTCCCTACGCTATAAAAAAAAAAAAAAAAAAGTTTTGGCTTTAAATATGTTAATTTCAAAAAGTTGCCTACAAATAATTGACAACAAGATAACAGCGGGTAAACAAGAGCAATAGTTTTAGACACTTCTTGACTTTTCTCATGTTATACGGTCTACCTTCATGCATTAATAGAAAACTATTCCACACATACTGCACTGGATTCACATACAATAATCTCTGGAACCAATATCTTTACCTTACTCATCTCCTGATAGAAGACATCCCTTAAGTTGGATATGTTCTGGAAAATGGTCACATAGCATCCAACCCGACTACAATAAGATGAAAAGAAAAAAGGCATTACAGTAGAACTATGGCCTTCTAAACGTGTGCTGAAGCACTTCATTATAGGTGCATCTGTGCTTACAGTTTTCTCTTACTCCCCCTGCAAAGTCCCACAAATACCTATTAAGTCTGCCAGTGAAGTCCACCTCAGGCAGCTTCCTGTGATGGGGTGGCAACAATGCTACACTGCTCCTAAATTCAGAGAAGAGTTGCCACTTTCATAGAGAATTTGCCTATTTGCATTACAGTAGAATGAAAAAACGTTCCAGAGGCCTGACTATCAGCACTGCTGATTCACAAGCCTGTAGCTTTGTTAATCAGCACCTGGATACGCCTAGCTCTACCCTCTGCTTTCTGGAATAACAGCAATGGCTCTGGGAGGGAGGGCAGTGTCTGGGAGGGAGGGCATGTGAGTTTTTTGTTTTGTTGTTGTTTTTTTTAAACTTTGTGAAGCCTGCACATCACATAGTAACTGCATTTGGTACATATTTAGACTGTTGTACAGAAGCCTTTCGTTTTACTTTTAGGATGAACATGACAGATGCTCTGTAGCTGTAACCTATACCAAACAAGCAGCTCAACCCTAATGCACAAACATTTTTATGATGTACTCTCAGTCACAATTGTTGCTGTCATTTGCAAATCATTGTGGCTATATTACAATAAGCAAAGGGTAATGTGTCAGTGCACAGGAGTATGCAGGAGGAGGAGTACAGCTGTGGTGGATATCACAGTAAAAAAAAGGTGATTTAAAAAAACAAAACTTTCTAGTTAATAGAAATTGTGCCATTTGGGAAGTATATTCATAATAACAAATATAAATATTAACAACTGATAATAGGGATGTCCCGATACCAGTTCAGATACCAGTGCCGATACTTGGCATTTTTACGAGAACTACCAGGGTTGCAGCGATTGCACCTGGGACCTGGCTCTGGCGCTCCACCCCTGTCCTATCATTAGTCTGTATTGTTTTAGAAAAACTGTCACATGGCAATAAACAAAAATGTATCAGTACTTGTATCTGTGAGTACTTGGACAAGTATCAGTACTTGTACTTGGAAAAATGGTATCGGTGCATCCCTTATATATGTTTATTTAAAAAATGATACATTAAAACAGAGATGTACAAATCCCAGGAGCTCCGTATGCACCATACAAATGACAGCTGCCTCCTAACTTTTGGATTTTTCTCTAGTTTAGTCTTGGAGCTGGAAAAGTATCTGTACATGTACCGAGTATTGTACTTGGTATCTGAACATCCCTAACTGATAAAACTTTAAACAAATAAATACTGTTTTACTAAATGTCATTGCTTTTTTAACCACTAGATGTCAGCAGTAGTTTAGCTAAATGCAAAAAGTTAAATGAAGTGGGGTTTTTTCTTTTTTTGACAGAGTTAAAGTGAAGCAAAGTTTGCAAGAAATTAAAAACAAAAACATTTTTTCTCATTTGCAAATAACTTTGGTATGCTTTGTTCCAAGTTTGTACAGTAAAACTATATATGTATACATGTATTGCTTCTTTAACAAAGCTGCAGGAAAATACCTGTTGATCATGCCGGAAATGCATGGAGCTCCTAATGTCCTGTACACTCTTCCAATGCTGCATTGAGATCTTCTTGCCTAATTCTCCCCATGTTGACTACAACACCTTCCCCTTATGTTATGGAGATGATGAGAAAGGGAGGTGTTCTGTATTTCAGAGCAGGAGTGAGCAGCCTAGAGTGACAGCACAGTGAATGAGCTTTGTCACCCTAGAAGAGGAAGTGTGTTACTGGCAGTATCAAGTTAAAATATAGAAAGAGGAAAAAAAACTAATACTGCTATGACATCTAAGGACTGCTAAGTTTAGGTTGCACACATGAAGACTGAAAGTGTTATTAAACCTAGCAAGCAGTAGATATATGCAAAAACTTTTCTTTTTTTTTAAACGCTTTAAAAAGGGTCAATACTTACCTGTGCCTTCCCCGCGCACTCCTGTCCGAAAATCTGAAAAATCTCGGGGGCCACAAAGCATCTTGGGGCGGGCGCATGCGCAGTTCAGATTTTCGGCCGGGAGACGAGGAGAGACACAAGGTAGGTCTATGGACGGCGTGCACCTGCATGCAGACACCGTGGGACAGGAAGTGCCAGCAAGCACAGAAAAGTCAGCGCTGGATCTGAGATTCGCCGCAGCACTGGAGAGAAGGCTGAAAAGGACAGGAAAGAAGATGGGATTAAGAGATATCATTTAAGGTAAGTGCTTACATTAACATTGGGGGGAGGGAATTTGTTTTATCCTTTAATGTCCCTTGAAGGATCAATTGATGAATTACACAAAACTGCCAACACAATGGTTATTTACTGGGGGTGCAAGATATGTATGTTACTGGTGCGAGGATGTTGTCTCCAAACATGAAACATGTTGTGGGAGTGTAGATTAAGATTTAATTTTCTGGCATCTTATGCTGAGCAAGCGACAGCAGGCACCAGCAAAAGAGTACAAGTATGTGCTTTTGGGCACTACGGGAGGGGGGCAATTGAAATTATGATTCATACATGAATAAATTGTCGACAAAGGGCTATATAAACCATTTTCTTTCATTCTGGAGTGTGGTGTGGACAGACATGCCGCTAGGAGAACCCAATGAAGCAATGGCAGTTCTATTGGGAGGCTAAACATCCTGCAGGTGCAGTGTCCACCTGTTGGGTTCTGCAAAGCAAACCCATGCTTGCCAGTCATCATCCCTCCTCTTTTGTCTTGGAAGCTGGACTACATCTTTAACAGAAGAGAGTGCCGATGATTGGAAGCTCTCTGTCCCACACATATGTTACACCCACCAAAAGAGGTTCCAAAAGAGTTTCACTAGCTCTACATGTTCGGACAGTTACAAGGATAGGGGCTGACCCGTGAGATGCCTATTTTCTTACATGTAGTAGCAAAACCTTACGCTGTTATTTCATATTGCTTTACATGGGCACAGAGCAAGTTCAGTTTATGCATTTTTTGGGGCATTTCAAAGCTATTTAACTGGATGCTAATCTATCAATTAGTATAGGGTTGTAACTAGGGATGCAGCAATTCGATGTACCGTACTCGGTAGTACTAGACATATGCGATTCGTTTCGTTCCAAATCGAAATTCGTACAAATTTTCGGAAATTCGGACATTCGGATGTATCCGAATTCCGAATTACAGATATAACGAATGCAAACGAATCCGAATTTCCGTTTCCGAAATTCGGTAGCGGTAGTTCGTTCGAACGTTCGTTTCGTTTTCGTTTCTTATTCGTTTCGTTCGTTGCAGCAAAGACATTTGAGGAGAAAAACATTTTTTCCCCCTCAAATGTCACTTTTCTGCAAACGAACGAACGAATGAACAAAACGAATAAGAAACGAACGTTCGAACGAACTACCGCTACCGAAGTTCGTCCGAATCCGAATTCCGAATCCGAATTGACTTTCACACCCGAATCCCGAAAAACGAAATAACACAAGTCCGAATTTAAAACGAAACGAAACTAAACAAATTTTTTGGCAGTGCACATGTCCACTCGGTACAAGTACAAGTACAGATACTTTTCGAGCTCCAAGAGTAGACTAGAGAAAAAGTCAAAATTTAGGAGGCAGCTGTCTGTCAGGAAGCCAGAGCCAGGATTCTTTCATCGCCGTTTGCGCATGGTGCAGCTAATAGAGTTGTATCAGGTGCAGCGTCTCTGCGTAAACGTGTGCGTTCGCGCGCCGACGTGTTGTTTGAGTTTTTGGCGCCCTCTGGGCTATATAAGGCTGTGACTAACAAACCTTTTTTGCTGTCAGATCGTCAGCTTCCCTGTGTTCCTGTATCCTGCTCCTGAAGTGTTCCTGTTATCTTGACCCGGCTTGGCTTTGACCTTTCTGCTTCTCTCCAGTGATTGACCCTCGGCTTGTTCCAGACAATCCTCCTGCCTCATCCTCTGTACCACGCTGTCTGCACGTTGATGACCTTGGCCTGTCCTGACTACCCTGCTATTCTTGTCTGCTGCTCCTGCTCATAGGATTCAGCTACTACTGGCACTCCTGCCCCTCTGTGCCCCGGTGCTCCTGTACCCATTCAGGAGCCCCAAGACCAGAGAAGTGAGAGAGGCCGCCCTCGACATCTCAGACTCCCCTAAGGTACGTGACACTGTCATTTGTAAGGAGCACACAGAGCTCCTGGGATTTGTACATCTCTGTTTTAATGTATAAATTTTGTTTTTATAAATACATATATAAGGGATGCACCAATACCATTTTTGCAAGTACAAGTACTGATACTTGCCCAAGTACTTACAAGTACAAGTACTGATACAGTTTTGTTTATTGCCATGTGACAGTTTTTCTAAAACATTACAGACTAATGATAGGACAGTGGTGGAGCGACAGAGCCAGGTCCCAGCTGCAACCGCTGCAACCCTGATAGTGCTCATGAAAATGCCAAGTATCGGCACTGGTATCTGAAAAGTATCGGTGCATCCCATGTAACACACTGATCTCTGCTGCCATGATTTAGAATCCCACTAATAAAAAAATTTCTTATATTCGGGACGGCTTATACTCGAGTATATACGGTATATTGTTCAGCCCCTTGTGCAGTCATTCTCCAAGAAGTGCCAAGGGCATTAACTTTCATGGCAATAATAGGGACACCGGCACCCATGCTTAGCACCCTGAATTCCCTGGCCACAATGTACTGCAGTTTACCTGTTATATAAAACTGGCAACTCCTCCCTTAGTTCTTTGTTTAAATCTTCAAAGATCATCTGAGATTTATTAAATTCTTCTTCTGCCTGATAAAAGAAGACATCAAATTACGTAATGAGTGGTTAAACAAAATTTCTTATTTGGTTATTTATTCTGGCGTTTTGAATTTTCACTATATATGTTACTGTATGGGATTATTTAAGAGAAAAGTCTCTTAAATAATGAGGAATGATAGGTATACTGCACTTAGATCCACAACTACAACTAGAATTTCTTTAAAAAAATAATTTTTAGTGTATAGTCAGTGTTTGTGTACATTTTGATAATATAAATTACTTAAATGGTCAACTCTGCATTATACGTTTGTTGGGTTTTCTCATGTTTTAATGCTGCTGGCTTTGGTATACTGCACGGCTGCTGGTGTGCGTGTGCCCAGACAGTGCCAATGCACTAGATCAAGCTGCATTTTTTTTGTTAAAACATTTACTGAAATGTCACAAGTGACATTGCATTCAGTTCTATGGGCTCACCACAGTGTGCTGCAGTTGTGCTGTGTCTCACTGTGGTGTGCTTAAAAAAAAGTACTGGATGCCATGCTTTTCTTAAGTGCATACCACCGGAACGCAGTGGTGTGAACTGTCACCATCCTTGACAAGGCAGATTTGCTTGTCTTGTGTTTGGCTGCGCTTGAAAAAAAAGCCAGTACAGCCCGAATGCAGATGGTGTGAACAAGACCTTACTCAGATCATTTAAATCAAGCAGCATGTAGCCACTCCGATACAGGGTTAGTCTTTGTTTGCGTATTTTATATTTAATCTCAAACAAAACTGAACTTGTAGTAAATTGTCAGAATAAAATAATTTTTTACTAACTGCAATTTTTATTTGAAGGTTTTAAATGAACATAGGAATATTTTGACATGCATTGAGCTGGTTAAATACAATTTGCTATAGGACAAAATCTAAAGTCTAAGAACTTTGGTTTTGTTTCAGCTCCATGAAAGATATGATTGTAGATTGGTCAGGTTTACATTTACCTTTGTGATTTTGGCCTCATCTTTCTTCTTTGCGTTTTGTAGAGCTTCTAAGTGGTGTCTTGCACTGTCATAATCCACCAGTTTTCTCCCTCTCTTTGCTATCCTCTCCTAGAATATGACATAATATAGTTAGAATGTAGAACATACACAAACATGCACTGTTCATTTCACTTTTACCAATGCACCTGTTGTCTCAGGTTGAGGGGCCGAGGTTTTTATTGAGCTGAATTTCCATCAGGGGTTATTCACACTAAAGTGATCCATTGTTGCATTTTGTGTAATGAATTAAGGTAGTCAATTCATTATGAATGGGCTTCCAATGAACCACAATGGAGAACAAAACATGCATTAGCCTTTTTATTAAAATCGCAGTGCACCACAACACATGGTATGTATGTTATATAGTATGTTATGTTGCTGTTTCAAAATATGAGCCTGTGTTCATTTCAAACACCCAATCATTTGCAGAGAAACAACTAAAAAAAAACCAACATAGAGCTTCTACTTCGCATGATGCTTAACGGTACAATAGATGTTGTATCTAGTACTACTTGGGTTGATTTAGGGCACAGTGTACTAACCCCAATTTAATCTTCACTTGGGAATGTTGGCAAACATGCAGTCCTACTAGTATGGCCACTGAGATTCTACAGAAAATATATATGAAATTTAGGTATAACTACAACTAATATATTTGAGCTATGCCTATTCTGTACATACTGATGTGGTGCAAATGTGAGTGTGCTGAGGATGTGTTCACACCTACATCACCCTTAGGTCAGTCTATGTTGCTGTCATCACAAATGTGTACTAAGCATGTAAACTCAATAAGACTAATTTAATGCAGTGACAATACTGTGGTTAACACACAAAGAATGTGATGTGAAGTTGCTGCACACCATGTATCACCTTTTTGTTTTCCTCTTTGAAAGATTTGTGCATTGATGTCTGTGTGATCCTGAATATACAATATAATGATATTATTTTCAACAGTCTAAAGTTCGAAACTTTAAACAATATTTTTCTGATTTTGTAAAAATAAAGTCCAATGAAAACACAGCTAAAATCTTTTCAGATTCAGATAAGATAAAGTGGACAAACAAACAAGTTAGAGGAATACATTTCCAATATAAAAGGTATACATGTACTGCATGTGGTCAAAGTACAATGCATCCTTGCCAATCAGTTCAAAAGTGAAACACTGTGGCATAGAACAAGTTCTAAGATAATGACACCATTAGGAAAATGTCAAAATCACACAGACACTAATTTCATATGGGGTAGTGATAGGGTTGCCACCTTTTCTTCAAGCGAAACCCGAACACTCTAGCGACGCGCGGCTTATTCATATGTAATAGTGCCACCCATTCATATGTAAATATCACCATTGAGACTAGGAGCCCCTATCCTAATTTTGGGTGCTCCTGTCTGCCTGACATCGTGTGACCGGGTTTCTGTTGCCATGAAACCCAGACACAGTAGTCAAAACCCGGACTGTCCAGGTGAATCCTGGACAGGTGGCAATCCTAGGTAGTGATGGAAATGTTCAAAATTAAGCAATTAGTGTGAGACAAAAATGGGAAGGGAGGGAAAGGAAATGGGAGTAAACCGTGCCCCCTTGAGAGAATTGGACAAATTACCTTAGATACTTAGTATGTTTTAGTTGAAGTCCTTGATGCGTAAATAATAAATCCAAGGTTGCCAGATTTTTAGAAATCATGTCATTTAAAATGGCTGCAAGTCAATGATAAGTATCACCCTATGTATGACCCCTTAAAAGATGATGGTAGGCTGGCTCAACAACCTAGCTTTTGTTTATTGGGTTGCTAAAAAGATGGCAGTAGCAAGTTTGGCTTTGGATTTAGTTTGAAATAGGGGTTGTTTGTTTAGGAAAGCTTCCCATGGATTCTGTTTCAGATTACAAAGTAAAAGTGACCTGAGAAGACTGTAAACTGGAATCCATAGTTTTTAGGACTTGGGGCATTCCCACCAGATGTGGAACAAAGTACCTGGGGAGGCACAAAAGCAGTGGTTCTCAACCTGTATAACCTCAGGACCCACATTTGTCCTTGGTGATTAAGTCGCCACCCAAGTCGCACCACACTGGCACACACGGCATTGCGGTACCGCTTGTTCCGATCAAACTGTGGGAGGAAGGTGTGTTTGGGGTGCCATTCAAATGAATGGCAAAGCAACTCACCTCCCTACCAGGATAAACAGTAGGTGCAATTGCATGGTAGTTTGCGATTAAAACACTGACGGACACACACAACCACAGACACAATCTCATACACTCACAGGCATTCTCACACAAACACACACACATTCCAAAAACATTTTAGGTGTCCAGTGTGGGCTGCTGTGTTGTGATGAAGCTTCATCCATATGTGCATTGCTTGTACAGCTACCTTGCACTCCCTGTAGAAGTGTTGGGAGCCAGAATGTGACGTCACTCCGGTCACGCAAGGGAGCTGTAAGCAACGCACGTAAGGATGGAGCTCCCTCGTGGCTATACTCCCTGCCTACCCCATCTCAAGTTGACACTCAACGCCAGGCAGCATATTTTGAATGTTACTCGCACGAGAACTGGCAGTACTATGCTATGAGGGAAGCCTCTCAGCTAGTGCAATGGAAGGCACGCAGCGACTCACTGAACATGGGGTCCCGACCCACTTTTGGGTCACGACCCACCACTTGAGAAACACGGCTCTAAAACATAGGGAAGAGCGGTTTAAGTGGATTTTGCAATCCTATCTGGACTTAGATGCCATTGCTTAAATATTTTATTACAAAAATTCCAAAGCTATAGTTGGTGTAACGTTTGACAACATTTAGTCATATCCAATCCAATTCTGTACTGTCCAACACACCATATAGATCTCCTTTTCATTTTAACATATATGGATGCTTAGTGGCTCCATGAGTGAGGTAGAGGTCTCTATATAAAGCTGGTATGAGGCCTGGGAATTGGGGATTAAGTACGCATCTGTCTTCAAAGCTTGACAGTATCAACTGATTGTGCCTATTTCAATTCTATAGCTAAAATATGATTGAAAGACTGCGTACTTCTTGATATTTATAAGAAGCAACTGTGATTGAACAATCATTTCAATACTTGTATGCAGGGCCGGAATCCCGACAAGGCCACAGAGGCCCGGCCTCTGGGCGGCACAGGTTTGAAGTCACCCGGCGCCTGGAACATGGAGTTCCGGGCGCCGGGCTGTAATTTATGGCAGGGTTAAAAATACCCCTGCCACTCCTTGTAGACAGTGAGAGGGGAGAGCTGTGCTCTTCCCCTCTCAGGTGTCACAGGAGTTCAAGCAGAGTGCTGTGCTAGAACTCCTGTATTGGAGGTGACAGGTTCAAAAAATAGAACCTGTCACCTCCAATTGCAATTATAAATAAAAAATAATAAGATAAAACATTATAAATCAATAAAAAAAGTAAAAGATGACAAGATAAATAAAAATTTAAAAAGTAAAAAAATTAATTAAAAAAATTAAAAAGTGATAAAAAAGTAAAAAAGAAAGAAACAAAAAACAAAAAAAATTCAAACCAACCCTGCCACCCCCGCTATCTGGTTGGCATTCTCCTCGGCGGGGCACATTGCCGAACCCGGCAACCTTGGGCGGCAGGGAGGGTAAATCCTGTCCTGCGTGTATGGCCACCTTAAGGTGCATTTTGTCTATTTTGGTTTGCCTGAATTCTGTTAAGAAAGATAACTGCACAGGAACATTAAGGAATAGTGTGTACCATTGTATTCACGAGTACAACTTTCAGACATGATTTCCTACGGGTTGCAGTTTAGCAAAATGCATTCTGCAGTTTACTCTCCAAATTTCAGGAAATGTCTAATACTTTCCATTGGCCAAGCATGTAAAATACATATAAGCTAGAAGCAAGTAAAATGAAGAGTGCATGGCTTTTCAACAATGCAGCAGTGAAGTTGGTCCTAACACATGGACCCGCACACGTCACACTGCATCGTTAGTCTGCACATCTATTTGAAGTGTATAGAATTATTAGATACAAATGGGTATGTCTACCTATTATCTATCTTTCTATCTATCTATCTATCTATCTATCTATCTATCTATCTATCTATCTATCTATCTATCTATCTATCTATCTATCTATCTATCTATCTATCTATCTATCATGGAAAGTAAGCTAGTTACATGATGGCTTTTTTCCATAGATGGTAGCTAAGTATATGTAGAAAAAGTCTGTACCTGTAATTTTCTTCATATAAAGTAAATATTGGTATAGATCTATAAGTATACATCTTTCAAAATGGAGTTGTAAAAGAAGATGCAAGTACAGTATATATTTTGCATTGATGGTATACTGCAAAATTAGAGCCTTCTATCCCTAGATGCACAGTTTAAAATAAATAACAAATGTTAATGATACCTTCATTTCAGGGAACTGTGACAGGTAATTCTCCATGGTATGCACAGCCTGGTCAAATAACTTCTCTTCATAATCACTCCACAGAAGGTCATTATTCTGCAAGCAAAAATGATAGCAGCAAATGAAACAAGCTAGATAAAAAAGCTTTGCCACAACAAATGATAATTCACCACATCTGATAAGAATCCCACTTGATAAACTGATAATAAGTAAAAAGGAAGTATTAAAGCTAAACTCCATGCAAACAGCTAAATATGCAGTTACAATACAGCTACATGCTTAAATGTTCAAACTGCTTTCAAAGATTTGGTTTCTGTTCAGTCAGTCTAGTGATCAATGCGGCCCCGCCTGACAGCAACGCCTGCACCTTGTGTGATTAATATTGTTTTTGCTTTTACCGTAAATTTTCTACAAAAATAAAAGTGTCATTTTTTTTGTTCAGTTTGATACTGTATATCATATTTTTCTATGATAAAACTGTCTAAAGTTAGCAGCTTTTCTGGAATTATAACTCATAAATAAAATGTCTCTCACATTCTCACTCATATTGACAATGTCACTGGTATTGATCACTAGTTTTTGGTGCCAAGATTTCAGCACTGAACTAGTATCTGAGGCAGATACTATACATCAGGAACTTGGTTAGTAAGTTCTTTTAGGGTTTAAACTTGTGCTAGTGATTAGATTAAGGTTTAGTTTCAGGGCTAGATTTAGAGCCAGCAACTGATTAGCATTTACATTACAGACTATGGCTATGCTTTTTAAGAGTGCTGGGGTTGCTTGACAAAAGTGGCTTGCCTCCAATTCATAGTAAGTAGAAGTTTAGTTTTTTCCTTCACGACAGCTTCATGTTAAAGGGTATCTATGGCCAAAAAAAACAAAAAAACAAAAGCTCCCCCCTCTTTGGATGAATTCTCCTTCCCCTCTGCTGGTGTACTATCCATACCCTGCGCTCTGTATTTTGAATTTCGCTCACAAATGGCGAGCACTCAGAAGCGCTTCTGACTGCGCTGATCAATGAGAATCGCTTTTTGCTAAGAAGTGCTTCTCACTGGTCAGCGTGGTCAGTGCTCACCATTTCCAAAGTACAGGTCTGTGCTACTGTGTACGGAGTATGGATAGTACACCGGCACTGTAGGGGGTAATTCCATTTTTCCAAATTTGCCTTGAAAAGTGGAATTACCATTTAATGGCTAGGGAAGTGTGGTCAGCAATATTTTGTAGCAATTACAAAAAACACACACCAAGAATGATTGTGTTGTAAATTAATATGCCACCACTTGTAGTTATATTTTCCTTATATATAGTGTGACTATCATAAATAATTATGGGTTTGCAGACTGAAGCCTAAGGCAGACCAGATTAATTTCAGTGAGATGGATTAATGTGGCAAATAAAATAACCTTGCACTTATTCCAAGTACAATTAACTATTCACAGTTGACATATGTTCTATTTTGGGGTTTACTGATAAAAAATAACATGTGAACGTAAACACCTGATCTGTATGACATTGTTTTTCTGTATTGATGGATTAGTGTGTCATGTGAATATTCAGAGAAAAATACTAGGTTCAATAATACCAATTAATGATATCCTTCTTTATTACTGTCAATATGGAGCAGAGATGCTCAACCATTGTTAGCTTGACCATAACATAATCATGATCACTTCAAATACTCTTTTAAACAGCAATGTAATAAATGAGCGAGATATAAAGACATTTGTGTTAAAACATAAAGGATTTTTCTTGATAATCACCTGCATGCTAAGAACGACTCAATTTATGCAATTTATCCATACTTTCAAATCCACTATAACAAATATTTGGAGGAGACTAAAATGTCAAAAAGTGAAATAGAGACCTTCCTACTCATGATCTCCTTTAAGGTGCAACAAAATTAGACAGATAGTTATAAACAAAATCTGGCGGGAGACTCCATTTAAAACCCTCCATAGAGCATTTGTTTCCAACCTTGATACTAACACTACTCTCTCTTTTGGAGCATCTCCCTCCAGGTGTCTGAAATATTGTCTGTGAGGCCTACATAAATAACACGTTGTCTTAAGACTTGCCCAATGATTGCTAATTTTTAGATGCAGGTACTAAGCTATATAAGCCATGTTCTTGCTCGGACTCCCCCATGACCTTTCTCTCTTTCCAATCAGCGGTGATATGCCTTCAACACCAACTCTGCAGAGGTTCTAAATGGCTACATATCTGTTTACTCATGGCCAGACGCTGCTTTATGCGAGTCTGGATTGCACGCCAAACCACTTTAAACAGCTGTTTCTCTGTGAAAATCTTGATGCTGCAATGCAAAACAACCACACAAACCACTTATTTCTTTAGAAGGTGGAGAGTCTTGTTGAAAATACTTCCCATAGAGGTGAAATAGAGCAACGGATGCTTTTGTTTCATTATGAACAATGGTATGCAAAAGTCCAGCTTATGAACTCCCTCAGAGCCCTACAAATAGACACTTTACCTGGTTTATATTCTGCTCACTGGTGACCTATTATCATTTATGTTCCTTTTTTTATTTTTAAATCTCCATTTTACTTTTACATAATCCTTCCATGTATGGCAATCTAATATTTCAGTCAATTTATATTATCTTGCCATGTCCCCAATATCTTGTACCCATCAAGCAGGTATTTGTATTTTCTTTTTCTTAGGCCTTGATGTTGGATATGACACATTCTTCAATCTGTCCTGTCCTGTACACGGCCATGGTTTCATCTCTGGTAATGGTTTAATGTATACATGATTACCAGATGTTGTCTCTGGATTTGTTGGGAATCAAGTTTCTGTATTTGTTAGAAAATGTTAAAATCTTTAATAAAATATGTTAAAAAACCTTAAGGGATATAACTTACTGCTCAGTTACCTTAATGTTCATCATGGCACTTGTTTGTGCAGCTGGCCGTCACTTTCTCTAATTAGATATGGCTATCAGTATCTTCCCTTTCAAAGCGGTTATGTATCTAAGCCTGTGAAAATGCTACCAGAGTGTTCCTTGGTTAACATTAAAGTGACATTAAAACATTAAACCCCCAGATTTTTTTAACATAAAACAATACTGTAATGTGTGCCTTACTGTAATTCATGGTTGTTTCCCTTCTCTTTGCTGCTCTTCCTTTTAAATCTGTATCTCTTCTCATGCTGGGCAGAACTTCTGTTTTGCAGCAGACTGCAAATGGATACATGGTGTCTGTGTGTAGGTTCACAACCTGAGCCAGCACTACAGGAAGAGGCACTCAGCTGCAAAGGGAAGTTCTCCCCAAGCATGAGAAGAGATACGGATTTAAAAGGAAGAGCAGCAAAGAGAAGGGAAACTACCATGGATTACAGTAAGGCACACATTACAGTATTGGTTTATGTTAAAAAATCTGAGGGTTTAATGTCATTTTAAATAGTTCTTAGCAGAGAGATGGTATGGCACAGAATCCTATGACCAGAGATAGTAGACCTACCCAGAAGCATTGTAAAAACTTGCTGAATTTGGCTGCAATCGATGATACAAAATGCAGGTTCATGTAAACTAAGTTGACTTTGGTGTGACTGATTGCACTTGTTGCTTCAGATTAATCTTTGAATAACTCGACAGGTTCAGACAAATAGTAAGCATCTGCTTAGAGAAACATCAGTGGCTCTCCAATTACTGAAAGCATCTGCACTTTGTCTCAAATGATCTCATGTGTCCTTGGTTTCTCTGATAGAGATGTAATAATGTGCAGTTGTGGCAGGATTCTTTCAAGCATTTAGCCATAACAGTCATTGAATCTTCCTGAGGCATCCATAAAGATTGATGTCATGCAACCATTACAGCAATGTGAACAAAAAACTCATCATGACAGAAACATGGAGGATGCCATTGCTTCCCCTCTGAAAATACAAGTTGCCTGTCTGTTATGCTGTCCTCTGGATTTTAAGAGAACAAGAACACATATAATGTCTTCTAACTTTGCTGATCTTCATATTTACTTCAGTTCAATCACAGTATTCCAGGCGGAGAGTCAACATAACATCCAGCAACTAGGATTTTCAGAAGGAGACAGGTTTACTTTAAAAGTACATAACAGTGACTATATACGTACTTTAACTGCAATGTGTGTATTTAGTCTCCACTCCCAGTGCATATTTACCTCTACTATTGCTTTGAGGTCATTATACCCATCCCAGTCTGCTCTGTAAATGACTTGAAGTGTTTCTGCCAGTCTCTTGGAGCTTTCATGCATTGCTGTAAAAACAAGCAAAGGTATGTTGTAACAAAATTAAAATGAGATGAAAAAAGGTAAAATAGACCCATTTGTTGGCCAATTTTAAATTGTACAGATGACAAAAAAGCCTGAAGCACAGAACTGGCATTTCTGCCCCCCTTTAGGAATACCAGTGCATTGACCTGCCACATATATATCTCATGGCAGGACAGCGATTCCGCCCCCATGACAAGACTGCTATAAGGGGAGAGACTTTGTGTGAAGGGGGGAGCTTTGTAACAAGTCACATTCATCAAATATCACCCAGCATGTCATTTGTGCTGAGTAGTAGCTTACTTTCTCTTGCCCTGGTTGCAGTTAAAGTACCTGTACAGAGATTGACATTGTATTCGGCTCATTTAATAGTGCTGACATATTCATCGATGATGATGACATATAGGATAGGGTATAGGATGGGCAGATAAAAGGGGTAAAGGATAGGCTGATAAAGGGTGTATAGGACAGGCTGATAAAAGAGATATAGAATGTGTTGATGTAAGGGGTATTGAACAGGCTGGTGAAGGGGGTATAGGACGGATTGATGAAGGGGTATAGGAAGGGCTGATGAAAAAGTATAGGACAGGAGAATGAAAGGAGTATAGAACAGGCCAATGAAAGGGGAAAACACCAGAGCCATGCACTCCTTTCTGGCAGTTTAGGTGGCAGTTGCACACCTTTCCCAATTGTTTTTACATAGTGGAAGGAAACCAGAGCACCCATAGAAAAAGCAGAGGAAGTTGCAGACAACACACAAACTCCTTGCTGTTTGTGTAGCTGGTGCAACACACTTCTGATCCCAGTACAGTTTTAGGTTCTAGGGCAGCATTTCTATACATTTTTATAATTACTGACCATAAGTGGACTGCTCAAAATGTCCCATACCCCTTCATCAACCCATCCCATACCCCTTCATCAACCTGCCCTATACCCGCTTCATCAGCCCATGCTATACCCATGTCATCAGCCCTTCCTATACCCCTTTATCAATCTGTCCTATACCCCCTTCTTCAACCTGTTCTATACTTCTTTCATCAGCCCAACATATACTCCTTTCATCAGCCTTTGCTATACCCCCTACATCAGCCCATCCTATACCCCTTTCATCAGCCTGTCCTATACCCCCTTATCAGCCTGTCCTATACCCCTTTCATCTGCTCATCCTATACCCCTTTCATCGGCCTGTTCTATACTCCTTTCATTATCCTGTCCTATACTTCTTCATCAGCCCTTCCTATACCCCTTCATCAATCTGTCCTATACCCCCTTCATCAGCCTGTTCTATACCCCTTACATCAGCCCATTCTATATCTCTTTTATCAGCCTGTCCTATACACCCTTTATCAGCCTATCCTTTACCCCTTTATCTGCCCATCCTATACCCCTTTCATCAGCTCGTCCTGTAACCCTTTCATCTGCCCATCCTACACCCCTTTTATCAGCTTGTCCTATACCCCTTTAATCAGCCCGTCCTATACCCCTTTCATTAGTCTGCCGGATCCCCCTTCAACAGCTGGTCAAAATAACCACCTTCATCCTGTTAGGCACTAGCATGACTTCAAAAGATGTCAATAGCTTGGTTTTACCAATATACGGAGATAGAACAGCTGAAAGAAAATGATAAGGATTTAAATTTATATCAAAAATGACAAATCACAAATGCACAAGCTAGCTACAACCAGTGAGCTCTTTCTAAGACATGGAATCAAGGTACAGGTATTGATAATGTTACTCCATCTGACATGTCAGGTTGATTTCCTCATTTTGTTTTGAGGTTCAATAGAGAACCGTTTTTTTGTTTCTTTATTCAGGGACCCAGTTCCGTACCTTCACTTTGCTCTTGTATACACCATAAGGGGAATTTCTCAAAACTGGAGGAGGCAAAATCTGGAACAGCTGTGCATGGCAACCAATCAGCTTCTCTCTTTCATTTTCAAAGCTTAACTGAATAAACTGAAGAGAGAAGCTGATTGGATACTATGGGTAACTGCTCCGGATTCTGTCTGCTCCGGTTTTAATAAATTCCCCCTGTACGTAGAATACTTTACAGAAAAGCAACAGTATACTCCTTAGTTTGTTTCATAGTTCTCTATGTTAGAGATCTCTGCATATTCTTATTAAATTGTAGGATTTAGAATGTTTTTCTACATGTCTTACCTTTTACAGCACTGAAAACAGTCCTTAAATCTTTGTACAATCTGTTACCTTCATTCTGAAATAAGAATTCTTGTTACTTTCCTTGATTTAGGGACCAATCACAAAATGCACTACAGAGAACAGACAGCACTGGCTACATCACTCATTAACCAATTCAGGCGGGTTCACGTATATGTACGTCCTCCCACTGAAGCTGTTATACCAAGAACACAGCTGCAGCCGTGTTCTTGGTATCTATGTAAACAGCCGGTGATGGCTGTTCAGGTACAAGCGTTTCGGCGGCTAAACCCCAAAAATTGGGTATTATATTCTGTTTCGGTGCATTTTAGTGTATTTTATCCTAAAAATACTGGTTTGATAAACATTTGGGCAAACACCGTGCCAGATAAAAAATTGCAAGTAGCATTTTTTTTATTCTACAGGGCCTCTTGCTTGGTCTAGGGTCTAAAATAAATAAGATATACTCACCCGATCCTCAGTCCCGCCTGCCTGCTAGACTGATCCCCGCAGTCCCTTCTCCCCTGGGATCTGGCGGTCTAAGTAGTGCTAATGTCCTCACATCTGATTGAGCGCATTGGACTAGAGGACGCCAAGGGACATTCCACACCCAGAGTGGAGGGGACTGGTCTAGATTGGTTTAGCAGCCAGGCAGGACATTGGATCAGGTGTGTATATCTTTCTTATTTTAGACCCTAGATGAAAACAAGGGGTTTCCCCACTGCAAGGATTAATTTGTCATATTCCCGGAGTTGTTCTTTAAACTGTATCTTACTCATTGTAGCCATCGGCCACGGGTGCTTAGGGATTTATTAGTTGGAGGGAAAAGAGAGATTTGATGGAGGAATGTAAATAGAGACAAAAGTAAAGGGATTGCAATGGCCAAAAGAGTTGTAATTAGGAAATGAGGTACTGCCCTCTAAAATGCAATGGGTGCTAAAGGAATGAGGAAAAACAGTTTAATTAATAACCCTTTTAGTAAATGGTTGGTAGCTATTGTATTTTGACAGTCAGACCCCCAGCTGTCAAAATACCTGAACGGTGCCTGCATCTGATTGGATTGATTCAACAAGTACCCTCCAAAATCTGCTTAGTGTGTAGCCAGCTCAGTAGCATATTCTTTGTAAATAATATAAACGAAAGAAAGAGAGAGTATGGCTCCTGACTATTGGCATGCCAGTGTGGTGGCGTTGACAACTCAAGGGCAGATCCTCTAAGAAGCTTATGAATAAGAAGAAAATACACAGTATTGCTGTCTGTAGCAACCATGTAGCTTCCACTTGTGATTTCAGCAGTGCAGAGGTGAAAATGAAACAAGCTTTCTAAATGGTTGCTATGAGCAACAAGACATAACCTCCCCTCTAAGGAATATAAAAAGTTAGTAGGTGGTTCAGTCTGTCAACATCCACCCAGTTTTTAAATATCAGTTGTTGGTACATCAATGGGGCATCCTTTGATGATAAACAGCACCCAATGTCATTAACAGTTACTCATTACCTGCTGCTTGTTAAACTCATAAGCACATTGCTCAAACATCTCATCCTTGGTTTCTATGGTTCTTCCCAATTTTTGAAGGACCTAAAAGTAAAATAGTGAAAACAAATACATTATGACTGTTAGAAGTTGTTAATTGACAATAGAAAACAAGGAAATATCTATATCTATGCACTCCAGCTGTGGTGAAATACCATCATGCCTCTGGGAGTCATGTCTGTAGCTGTCAGTCTTGAAATGCCTCATGGGACTTGTAGTTCCACAACAGCTGGAGTACCGAGTTTGCCTATCCCGGAACTATAATGTTTTTCTGCTGGTACCCAAAATTTCCAGAGCACAGTTAAAATGCCTTGCATTATGGTAGGCCATTCATATTTAATGGGTTACCCATGCACCGTAACACATTTAAAATAAAACATATTTTATTAGAAATTTTTATGACATACAACCTTAATGATCATATAGAAAAATTAAACAACATGTCAACAAGAACATCTGAAACATAATATCCCCACACTTTTACTATTAAATCCTCTTTAACTATCACCCTGACTGGGAGGATGGGAATGATATGCCTTCGGACTCTTATAAAAGTCACCCATGTTGGGGGGGGTTTTGGTTTTTCTATTTTTGTACTGCTGTATTTTAAAGATCTTCAATGTCTATTATTAAGAATAAAGGAGCACGGTGCACTGTTGCTCTACAGCAATGCCTAAATGAGGCAATTGGGTTAATTCACTGAAGGAGTTGAGAATCTTCACACAATAAAGTTTGTGAATATTTACTTCAATTATGCAAACATTTGCAGACAAAATAAGTAATCAGGAATTTTCCTTTCACATGACCGTAAAATTGAAGCGGTTTTTCACATAAATTATTGTGTGAAGTTTCTCAACTCTTGTAGTAAATCAGTCTTAAAGTATTATTAAAGGCTGGGTGTTTTCTTTGCCTTAATGCACTCTGTGCATTAAGGCAAAAAACACTCAGCACTCTCCTAACACCCCGTCCCCTCCACATTTACCACAGCCGCTAGCCTCCTCCGCTGCGACCGGGAAGATACACAAGTTTCCCCGAACTTTCTGGTTGCGGGGGAGGTTGCTGAGGGCAGAGGAGCCAGAGGCTCCTTCTGCTGTCAGTCAAGCTGTGACTGCAGGTGGGAGAAATAAAAAAACTAAACAACAAATACACATGTTTTTTATAGTAAGTCTGCCCCCCATTAATACAAAAATGAAAAAAAAAAAAAACCCTGAAGATTTAATGTTGCTTTAAAGTGTAAATGGTTTTTACTTGGGTTAGGGTTTTAAGGGTTGTCAAATGTCTTCTAGCTCCGATTTCTTTGAAATGTTAGGCGGGGCTGCGAGGGGTCTGTAGTGGCCTCCCTATTGCATGTTAATGACGCTTATCAGATAAACACAATCCTCAAATTTCAGTCCCAAGTCTTTCTATAAGAACAGACCACTGTGCAAGGGCTAAGAAAAACCTGGAATCAGCCATCTTGCCTGATTTAACAAAACATCTACAAAGTGAGACATTTTTTAAAAAGTTATTTTCAGTATGCTTTTGTAAATAGGGACACAAAAAAAACATATAAACATATAGAGGGGTTTTCCTAAATTTGACTGCAACAGTGGAAATACACTTTAATGTATCCATCCAGCCAGTTTTGACTGTAGTGTCTCTTTATTTATTTATTTTTTGTGCCTAGAGGTGATAGTAATCCAGGGCAGGTTTAGCATTAGGTTTATTTGGACTAGTGCTTAGCATAAAATGGTTAGAGGCTACATCGCCAAAACTTTCAATTACTAGTTTATTTTAAATTTTTTTGGGTTTCCTTTGTCTGGACTCTTCTAGACACTTTTTCCTAATCCAGCTTCAGGGGGGAGGGACTGCAATATTTACAAGACTCTCTGCAGAGTACAGACATTTCCTCTTTCTCGGCAGGCCTTGAATGGTGGAGCTCACATTCCTCTATCTCGAGTACCTAATTGTTTTCTTATTTGGCATTATAGAAACATGATATGGTTGTTAACTAACCAGGCATAACCTTCATATCAGTCACATGTGCCTAGAGCATGATCTCTAAATACCCTGTAAATATTGTCAATCTGGCTCAGAATGATTGTTACTAATTTCTGACTTTCTGTTCCATGCATGGGGTTAAAATAAAGGTCAGGTTGCAACATCTACAGTATGTTGCTATTAAGAAAACTTCGTGCTTTGTTGCTCTTTCCTATCTGATATAATGAACAGGAAGTTCTAACCACCCCGAAATAATACCATGCAGCTGCAAGTTCTCTGTTTATCAGATATGGCCTTGAAAAGAGGTGCAGAACTTCATTTGCTAGAACAGACATGAGAATGAAAAACACCATATGCGTAAAACAAAAAACTTAAAAAAAAAAGAATTATAGAGAGAAAGAGTCTGATCATCAATGTTACCTGATGACATTTTTGTATTTTGGGAGTTCCAGGAGTAAGATCTACCTGCCATAGTTTTTTTTAGCTGTGTTCCTGCCCACTTTGAGATGTTCTCATTAATATACCATAGATTTCTAAAAATCCAGCAGGGATGGACTACTTTGTGAGTAGAGTGGTGAAACTCTAGTATGCCGGAGGACTCCTAGAGAGCCATAAGAAGCGTTTTGCCAAACCGTCATAGAAAACAATGACATATGAGGTTGGGTGGCTCTATCTTTCGGGCCTATTTACAGCAGGATGCAGAGCTCCACAATATGCAATGGAGTATTACATTAGGCAGCCCTAAATGGGCTGTAACACACAACAATATAAATCCTGCTACATTTTTTGCAGTGCCCTACATTGTACATTGCAGTAAATTGTTTCACAGCTGCTTCTGAAGGTACGTTCAAATGAATGGCACCACAATGTATTAATGCGTGAAGGGTGCTTTAACAAGCATTGCAGTAACTGCACATTAATGCAGAGCAATAGTATTAAAGGGTCGCTATATTGGTTATTGCATCATTTTTCTTTTCTGTAAGTTAAACCATTATTATATGACTATATGACTTTTTTACATTTTTTTTACAATTGACTCCCAGTGCCTGCATTGCTTCTATGTTTACATATTGCACCTGAGCATACTAAAGCTGATATATGAACCAAGAACTTTAGCTATTTTCACACCATGCCCGGTCCAGATCTGGAGCAGATCTGCAAATGCAGTGGTTTTGCCATGTTTTTACCGTGTTTTATTCTTTTTTGGCTTAAAATTGAATTTACAGGTGCAGTCCAGTGCGTTCCAGTATTTATGCATGTGTTTGTATGCATTCTTCATGCAGTGCATTCCAGACCAGAGAAAATGAGACAAGTAGTATTTTTTTTTGTCTGGACCGGAACGGATTGCGCTGGTGTGAACACAGCCCAGAAATACCATAGGGATACATTGGGATGCTTTTTTGGTCCAGGAACATACTGTTCTTTTCTGGACATGGTGTGAACAAGCTCTTAGTTGTAGCCTGTAGTAGCCAACAAGTTTCATCTCCGAATACAAGAAACAGCTGAACTTTTACTTAGATTGTTCTTTGTTCCAATCTCCATTAGGGTTTGTGCACACCATATACAGTGCGTTCCAGCGCGGTTAGCTGCTGAAACGCACTTATTCTCCACATGTTCTGGTGCGGGCGATCGCACTGTGGGCAGGGGGCATGGCTGCAATGCCATTGACTTTAATGCACCATCATGCCCCCTCCCAACCCATGAATGCAGGAAGCTGGCCGGGATTTGATTCAGTGCGTTCCAGCAGCTAACCGTGCTGGAACGCACTCTATATGGTGTGAACAAGTCCTTAATCAGCCCCCTTTTGGGTTTACTATTGAGACAGTTAAGAAATACGGTAACTATGTGCTGTAATCTATAGCACCCAGTAACCTTCCATAACTTTAGCTCAAACAGGGTAATGAAAAAGTTTTATTTTAAAGATGCCAACATTTTTTTTTCTAATTTACATAAAGAGTGGAAGAATTAACATTTCTTTTAGGTTTTTATTGTTGTCCTTGACCCCCTTGGTGAGATTTTTTCCCACAATTCCCGTCCCAGTGATACCTCTACAATTGGGGGTACAGTTGTCACTAGAACATGAAGGCACATCAATAAGAAAATTATCAGACGTTTTACTACTTTCTGAAGTGAATTTACTAAATATGTTTTTTTTGTTTCTGTCCTTGTCCCCATTGGAAAGATTTTCCATCAATGTCTATCCAGGCAATAGAAACCTAACCGAGAATTTAATTTTCCCCAACATTACATTCACAGCATTATTATTATTAGGGTGACTGTTGCTGTTGAATGTTGATAAATGTGCAGCAAATCCTAGGGAATGTGCATGCATTTGCAGAAACTTTACAAATATCTCCAAAATGTACTAAAATGCACTTATAATATTACAGGATCCAATGAATTGCTTTCCGCCCAGTCTCTCCAGTTTTGTTGTAGAACTGTACAATCCACAAACAGTTTCAAAAACAAACTGCAATTTTTTTAAAAAGCCAAAACTAAGACACACTAAAACCATTTCACCTATAACTATTTCATGTATTCCCTGCTACATCATTTAACTAAACCTATCCGGAGTTCTAGAATACCACAAATGTTTACAATACCTTTTCTTGTGCACGTGAAAGTCTTTTCTGGACATTTTTGGCAAAGATCCCTGCACCTCCTTGCTTGGCTTCTGCCATTGTTGTTTGCTAGTAGATGTGGTTTCCTAATGTGTATATGAGAGCGTATGCAGTGAAGGAGAAACATCAGCTCCTCCCAAGCTAGGCTCTTTCCGCTATGCTTTCTAAAACCACTTCACTTTTTTTTTTTAGACATTTACCCTTCTCTGTTAGCACCTAATACTGATTACCGGTATATATTTTTAAATGCATATTGTAACTAAAGCTTTGAAAAAAACGAAGGGACTTTCTCAATGAAGGAACCACCTTTAATCACAAGGATGATACATTTTAGCCAAAAGGGAGAAAGAAAGAAGAACAACGAAAGGCCATAGTTATAGAGCCCAGATAGCAGTGGTTTTAAAAGAAAACCAGATGCTATTGGTCTTGCACAAGGCATTATTATAAATGTTAAGTTTATTAAAACCAGAATATTTGCTACTTTATTGAGCTTTACTTAATCTGAGCCTGATGTTGACATCAAGTGCCATATAGGTGCCTGGTTGGATGTTACGTGTACTGCACTAAGGAGATTGCTTATGTTCTGGAACTGGGCCAATGGACATTTCCGTGACTGAAAACTATACACCAAGCTGCAACAACTTACAGAAGGGGACATACCCAGCATTTTGGCTGAACACAATCAATCACATTGTCTGGTAGTTGTAAACTTCACACTCAACAATGGTTTGAGATGATGGATTATATACATTTGGGGTAAAGCAGATCTTAAAGTGTTAATAAAACCCTATTTTAATCTCTCTGTAATCTCTTTGAAAAAGTCAGTAAACTCTGCTTCCATTTTTAGGGTGGCTCTGTTCCCTTGCCGGGTCCTCTGAGGCCACCCTTACCAGCACGCCCCTGCCTGACAAAGCAACCTAATGTGCCAGCGCAAAAACACACAGGCAGCTTGGAACACTATGTTCAGCTAATTCTCCAGCACCTCCTCCAGTGTGTGGACAGATAGACTAGCTCTGATTAAATGCTGGTCACGCATGCGATAGGGTAATGGGACTGGGATTTTTACAGTCTGCACTCTCCCCACTGGAGGTTTAGGTAAGAAGTGGTGGGGAATAAAGCTGAAGGAAATGTAAGTAACTGGGGGCAAGTTGTGTTTTCTTTTTTAATGCAGATATGTGTCTGCAAGAGAATCTTGGATACTTTAGTAGGGAAAAAATAGGAGTGTTTAATACTACTTTAAACATATATAATGGGACATACACTGTATGTGGTTGCTCATTTAGCTAATAATAATAATAATGGCTAGGTGGATAGATGTGTCATTGCTCTGAGCCCTATATATACTTTATACAGCCATGTGAAAAAGTAAGTACACATGGAAATTGTTGACCTTTTCCAACAAATTTGAACAGGCAAACATTATCAGGGTTATTCACAAAATGGTGAAGAGTTCGGAGAAGGCAGGAGAAGAGAACAATCTAGGATAACATAGCTGATATGGAAAAATTCTCCAATTCAGCTCACTTTCCAGTTTAGCTATGTTGTCCTAGATTGTTCACTTATCCTTCCTTTTCCAAACTCTTCACTCTTCAGTAAATAATCCTATATATCTTCATGCAAACAGTGCCTAGAGATAAAGGTAATATACTTGAACAAATGACACATAAAACTCACATGGTACGTTCATTCTTTTAACTCAAATACAGATTTTTGTCACCTTAAAAAAAACAAAAAAAAAACATTCCTACATTTACCACAGCTTTAAAGCCATGGAAATTAGAATAAGGCGCCACAGATTAGGTTCCACTGGTCAGAAACTCCATTAGCATGCAGTTCGATTTTTGCCATTTTTAATTTTTCTATAATGTTTCAATATTTTGTACTTACAGCATTTAAAGTTTGTAAAACACCCCCAAACCATATATTCTCTTACAGAACAGGACCAAGAGAATAAAAAGCTGGATAAAAATATATTTTCCATGGAAATACACTAAAATCATTCTTACCAAGACAAACACAAGACCCCTGATGCTTCACTTTTAAGTTGAAGATGAGATTGAGGACACAGAGTTTTCAATCTCTTTCTCCTCTGCTGCCTGGCACTTAATACTTATCATGGAGGTGATCAGCACTGAGCACTTCTGAGATCATGCACAAACAGAAGAGATAGTAAAAATGTAATTCATTATTTATCAATCCCTTCAGTTAGGAATGGACACTGTCTCTGCTCACCATCATTTACACATCCGATCCTCCCCACTGTGCGCTATCAACCTGATCCCCTCCACAACCTGCTGTACATGGGTTGTGGGAGGATCAAATTGTGGGCACACTGTGAGGAGGATCTGACAGGCACAATCACACATAGGGCAAACTGTGGGGAGGTCATGGTGGCAAGTAGTCACAACTAGTCAATAATCTGCATAATGTTGGGGACCTGTAAATTCATGAGCTTATAGCCTAAGGAAATGCAACAGACGTTAGAGTTACTGAGCTGGCCAGCTACAAACAGTTCTTTTTTGCCATAACCCTTATGTCTGTGGCAGTGAAAGGGTTAGACCTCAGGTATCTAAGGTCTGGTGTTCTCTTTGCTATTGGTGTGTGTGATATCATCATCATGCCCTTGGAAAGAATTTGTGAAAACCTTGGAATCTGGTGAGAGATTTAAAAAGATTGCCAATATTTTGTAAATCCACTGTGAGGACAATAATCTGCACGTGGCATAGATTTTAAATGACTGATTCGCCTATATGTGAAACACCCGGTACCGGGTGTTCGCATTGGACGGGTCTTTTCTGCCCGTGCGTGCCCGCAGATGCAGCAGTGCCGTCCGTCCGTTTTTTTACTACGGGCGGACGGCAAGAGGTTAAAGACCTGGCCAGCAAATTCAGCACAAGAGCTGACTGTTGGATGCTAAAAAAAGTCTCCAAGAACCCAAATATTTAAGTGTAGGATTTGCAGGTAATTTCTGGAACAGTTGGTGTCAAAATATATTCGTTTACAATCAGAAACAAATGTCACCAATGTAACCTGCATGAGAGGACTGCCATGTGTGCTTTTCCTCTCCAAAAGAACCTTAGGAAGACTTCAGTTTGTCATGGGCCATATAGGCAAAGACTAGGGGGTCTATTCACTAAGATGTCGTAGGCAGCCGAGTGAATAACCGACCCGAAGCGAAGTGAGCCGAACGCCGTTCGGCTATTCACTTCAGGCTTGTACGGCTGATTTCAACTGTATGTCGGCTGAAATCAGCCTACATCGGCTTGCTTCGTGTGGCTTTGGGTCGGCCGAACATGCTCTGCATAAATGTTATGGTAAATAGTAATAAATGGTATGAGTGAAACCTCATACCAACTGTAAAGCCTGGTGGGGGAAATATTATGGTTTGACGTTGTTTTCCTGCTTCTGGACCTGGGCAGCTTGTAGCCATCAAGTTGATTATTAATTCAGCATCATTTCAAAGGCGATCTGTCTGAAAGTTGAAGTTGAACTGGAAATGGATGTTACAACACAATAGTGATCTGAAGCACACTCACAAATCTGCCAAGGAATGGCTCAAAAAGAAAAATGGAGCCCTAATCTGAATCCCATTGATATGTGTGTATGTGTGTGTGTGTGTGTGTGGGGGGGGGGGGGGGGTTTAAAAAAA